CCCCAAAACCCCAAAACCCCAAAACCCCAGAGAACACAAATTAATCTTTTAAAAGTTTTGGCAGCATAATTTAGTTAATTAAAATGATGAGATTATAATATTAAAGTAAAAATTTTGAGAAAATATTACAAATGTCAGTGATACAAGAGCTTTTTGAAAATTACGATCACATTCCTGTAGAATTCAAAAGACATTTACACTTGCTGAGAGAACTGGATGAACAAGTTTCAAGTAAGTGGCTTAAGATTCAGATTAAAAATTGAAATCAAGTCATAATTCAAATTACATATATTATGACTCTTATTGCTAGCTGGCGCAATACTGATTATTTTAAATATAGAGCTTTAATGCGAAAGAGATGTAGTTAGAAAAGAACTAAATAAAAAATAGATTCTAGAGGACGAGGAATAGAGAAACAGACAATTGGAGAGGTTGTATTAGATACATGGGAAAATAGATAGCATACAAGATGAGAAGCTGGAAATAGCTGCAAAGCTGTTTTCGATTCAATAAAACTTTATCAGAAAGCTAGATTAATAAATTGAGAAGACAGAGGAAGACAAAAATGTATAGGACAAATGTAATCAAGATGTGCAAATGGACGATATAGATCTGACTATACAAGCCAAAAACTTGAAAAACAGTAAGCAATAAGAATTATATAAAAATTATAGAGAAGACGATATTACCACCAGGGAGAACATCTAATACACCTGGGTTTGGAAAAGGCAATTTAGATCCATTAAGCTAGAGTTTCGGAGAGTTAGGATAAAAAAGAAATAAAAATGATCTATTCAAGTATGAGCCTCCTGCTATTAATAATCAAGGATAGAAATCAAAAAGAGACAAGTAAGTCTGTTTCAATTCAGCAATTAATATAAATTCAGTATAAAGAATTCAGCTTATCCTAATATACATCATAGGTAAAGAGACAAGAAAATCTTTAACAATTAGCCGAGTTTTGACATTAATAATAGCTCCTTTAGTTTTGGACCAAATTCTTCTTCAAAGAGAAGTAATGGGGTTTTGGGTGGAAATCCGTTTATTCCTTATTCCTAGGATGAGGGATTCTAAGAAGGATTAGATAACTAAGACGATGATAGCATCTGCTCTGCTTGTAATACAAGGAAGCAGAATGAGAACTGGATATAGTGCGAGACTTGCAACAAATGGTTCCATTAGAATTGCGTCGGTATCAATTAATTCAATGTGCCGGGTGACGATGAGTCTTGGCATTGCCTCGCTTGTAGGAAATCTACCGGGAGCAGTTCAGGCTTAAAGCGTGGATTTAGTGAGTTTGGAGCATCAAATCTTTTAGAAGATGTATGATACTGTTGAAAAGAGTTAAATTAATATTGATATATTCATTTGGATAATGTTTAAGCAGGCAAACAGGTTTATGATTCTGCTGCGGGGTTTTGGGGTTTTGGGG